TGGCCCATGTTTTATTAAAGGTTAGCTACGCTCTTTTGTTGACCAAAACCGGGCCCATTTTCGTGAAAAGAGAAAATTTTTCTGTTCGTTTTTGGCCACCCCATTCCCCAGGAGCACTCTACAAGCCCCCTAAGGGCTATTCATGCCCTTTTTTTTAATAAAACATGGGCCAGTTTTCGCGAAAAACGGGCCGTTTTTGGGAGGTTTGCAGAGTGCAAAAACTTTAAAAAAAAAATTTTCTCTTCCAAACCTTGCTGTGTCTTATACTCCGGTTTGTCTTATACTCCGAAAAAATACTGTAGTTTGGGATCCAAAGAAAACAGGGAAGGGACAGTTGACAGTCCTACTGATAGGAAGCCACGATGGAAATGCAGGTCTGTAGGTCATATTCCAAAGTTGAAAAATGAATCCAAAGAATGAATAGGCAAATCACCTCCAAAAACATGTGCAAATGCATCCAGGTACTCATTGCAGTTTAACTCAAGAGTATCTTACTAACCATAGAATTTTCCAGCAAATGCCTTATTGGTAAGTATGGTATATGCCAGCTCTGCAGAGCGGTGGAGTCGGCAGCAAGGAGCAGATGATTTCGTGTGTGCATGCTGCTTTCAGAAATGAAGCTTTTTGTGCATGCACACTCGTCCACCACTTCTGCGGCTTGGTTCCTAACAGGCTGTGTCCCGGCACTGGGCCACAGATCGGGGATTGGGGACTCTGGTATGTGACATAAACAGAAATCAACCATTTGACCTAAACAAAACAAGGAATGATCTCCAATCCTCTTTAAACTTCATTCAGTGTAGCTACCTCATCACTGCAATGCATCCGTGCCATGGCTTCTGACAGTCGTATCATGCTTTCCAGTTGTCGCACAGTGATTCTCCATGAAGATTTTGTGACACCAGAACCATCCCTTTGGCGTAAGCGCTTATAGTGTTCGACAATAAAATCTTCTGACTCTTTAGAAATCTATTGGAAGTGGGGAAAATGGTGAAAGTAATAGTCCGTTCTGCTATGGTGGAATTCAGTAAAATTTCCATCTAACGTATTGCAGAATTACATCATGGATCAAACAATAGAAGCCCTAACCTTTAGAGAAATCCAGGGAGTCATTTCAGCAAATTGGAAGTAAGTGCTAAAGAGCCGATATTAAATATATACTATTTTTGAATAATAAGAAAGTATAAAGATTCTCCTTACCTTTGGTTTAAATTGCCTGGCAAAGAGAAGGTATCTTCGGATTTCATCAAGCGTATATATACGATCAATTGATTCATCTATCCTAGAATGAAGATCCACAATGCGCCTTGCAATAGCATAATCTGTTACCTAGGGAAATATTAGGCACCATTACTAAAGGCATAAGGAGCAACATAACAAAACACCTTGGTATGTCTAGATCTCTTTTACAAATATATTACTGTTATCTTACTCTGCTAAATAATTTAAAAAAAGTTTTACATTTTATTTACAAATATGTAAAATACACACACACAAAATTTAGACGTACACCACATTTACACAATACAATACGAACAGGAGCTTCCTGTTCTTTCTAATAGCAATTGCCAATCGATATCGCTCACCTTATATTGNGGTATGGCTAGCTGATGAGAGCTAAATAGCTTGAAATAGATCTATACTAGTCTCCCTTTATTTATTTATCAGCACAAATACAACACATATATACATACATACATACATACATTTTAAAGGCTTCCTTGTAGGTGGTTGTTAAGTGAATCATTTGGTCATTAGGCAAATCCTACTTCCTCCATTGTTGGAAGCTGGCTGGGAAAGTCACAAATGGTGATCACATGACCCTGGGACACTGCAAACATTGTAAATACATGCTGGTTGGCAAATGCCCAATGGTGGTGTGACCATGGAGACATCATGTGTGTGAGGACCAATTGTAAATCACTTTTTTCAATGCTGTTGTAACTTTGAATAGTTGCTAAAAGTGGTTGTAAGCCCAGAGCAACATGTAATTCAATTATTGAATTAACTCATTTTGTGAGCTTGCACAATAATCCAACTCAGTTGCATATGCTAATGCACATAAAGCAATTTCAAGATAAAGCTAACCATGGCTAGCATATTGAACAAATGCAGCTGTTTGATTTGCAGCTAACCTAATTAAGGGTATGCATGAAAACAAACTTGCCGATTGTTGTTAAGTTGTACTTTTTGAATACTTATGCTGCCTCTTAAACTAGTCTTACCAAAATTAGAAATGGATAAGAAAGCACCAGGCCACTTAAAACTGAAAACTTTATACATTTTTCCACTTGAATCCTACAATACCTAGATAGTTTGTATGATTAATTGGTGAACATTTGGAGTATAAACAAGAGGCAGCATACACCCTATTTTTTGGAGTATAAGACACATCTTTTTCTTCCTCTCAAAAGAGGCTGAAAATCTGGGTGCGTCTTATACACTGAATACAGCATTTTTTGCCTCCCGAAACCACGTCCCCTTCACCAAAATGGCCATG